TGTTCATTCATAAGGCTTTGAGGTCAAAACAATTGATTTTCCAAGGTCCAGACCGTATCTCATGTAGTGAATCAAAATGGGTGGGGGCCCAGCCAATGAAGACCTGGGCCATAGATTCAGAAACGGCAAAATGGTCATCAACAATTACATTAACTAACTCAAAGTAAGTGCATTGAACTATTCAGCCATTGCATCACAAACATGTCTTAATTTATCATATCACATGAAAGCGACCAACTAGTTTCGCTTTAGTGATCAACAACTACATCCAACTTTCTCAACGTGCCGAATCCCAGCCTCGAAAAAAGTTTTCAAAACATTCAAGGTCTTACCTGGTCACAAGCAGTCGAGGCATTGAAAAAAGAAACGCAAACACTACAATCGTCATCGGTCAAGTTGTGGACAAAAGGTACACTTCCACGACTGAGCTCAAACCAACACAAACCCAAATACCATTTGTCAAAGACAAGTTAGTGTGGCGGAAGCAAGCTTGTAAACAGTTGATTGCTCTGCATTTTTGTTGAAGCTTCTACATCCCAATTATGATGTTGTTCTGCAGACAAACTAAGCCAACTGCGAACTGGGGAACAGAATCGAACTGCTGCCTGCCCATTCACATGTCTCTCCCCGCACTCAAATATCAGAAGCCATGGGGTTTGCAGCCTGAGTTGTATGAGAGCTCTCTGATAATAAGGTTGCCTTATTTGCCTGATACCATTCCTTCAACATGATACGTTAAAATGGTATCTATAAAAGAACCTCCGTCCCAGCCTGGTGGGGTGTTCCAAACTCGCAGCACCTGGCCAATGTCGAAAGTTTCCACAAACTCAAACATAAATCAAACAGTTGCAGCTCCTGGGCCCAGAAAACCATTCCAAATGGACAGGGAAAGGAACCAGCAACAGTGTCATTGCAAGATCACATCTACAATACCTATTGAATCCATCATTGCGGACAAGAGTTGACTTTATTACATTAGTTAAAAATGAAAGACCAATTGCTAAAGACATGCCGCATTTTCAACAGCGCTCGGATAAGGTTATTCATTCTTGAGGCGCTATAAATGTGTTTAAAAAAGTGGAAGCGAAAGGCAAGTCAACAACAAAACCGCTTCTGTTCCCTGCCTGCGCATTGGCAAATAAGATCGCCAGGCATAGTCTCTCATACGGTCCTGCCAAGATGTGCACTGGGCTGGTGAGGATCATTTTTGCACTGCTTTGAAAGCCGCCCACAAAGGGTTATTTTTGAGAAATTCTTTCATTTGCCACCGGCTTAACTACTCATATCTTGCCAAACACAAACGAAACATACTATGATGCTGGACTTGCTCTGTTGAAACTTGTTATTTTGAAACGGCTGATGGTTGTTTCCTAGGTCCGATATGACTTTCACTTCTTCCCTGAACAAACTCAAACAGATTCCGAAGAGTTGGTACAAACAACCAAGTTTCTCGGTACAGGTTTCACAAGTTAATTTGACAGAACTTTGTCTTCCAGGCCAATGTTGTTGATTTTGACTTACATGTGTCGCAGGACAAGTGGCAAACATGTTTCTTGTTGGCCAAGGGTTCTCCATTGCCGTTTCAAGTTTGTAAAATCTTCCCATTGACGATTGAATGTGCAAAAAGGGATCTGCTTGACAACAAGAACTGCATGATTCTGTACAGAACAAAGTTTCCCGATGCATCGCCTCCCAAAAACAAATCACCCAGTCCTCCCTCACCCAGCCGGAATGAATGACTGGAAAGAGATACCTCCCGTGCAAGAGACAATCATGACTGGTCGAACATGCGCACTCAGTCAATCTTATTATATTTGGTGATCAATCACTGCATGAACTACGCAAAAGAACCTACAATGGGAAAAGAAAGCAACAAGTAGGACCCCAAACTGTTTCGCTCATTTATACTGATATGAACATTTTGTTAAAGCACGAAAAATCGTATTGTAACATCCTGGCCTGAAGTTTGTTTTGGCACACCTCGCAGTCCCGCAAGCGAAGCCGCTTGCCAAAGCGGCATCACAGAGTCATGTGACATTTGAAATCAAGATTTGGAGCAGCTGCTATGACATATTCGAATCTTGAACGCCAGGAAGTAAGCAGCCTGCTTCACTGTGACAAGTAGTGCTGGTGCTTGGTCCGCTTTCACTTTGTGTTGCAAGCTGCCAGTTGCCCAAGCCAGTTGTCATGCGATCTGGTTTGAAACTTTGGCAGGTACAAACATCTCTGGCATCATGGGGGCAAGTGTGAAGATGAGCTGTAGATACTGACATTCTTTTTGGTTCCACTTCTGCCTGGCAGGCGGAGGTCGAACCAGAAGTAATGTCAGGGTCTGCCTCACCTTCACACTTGCACTTGGCTACCCAGGCTCGGCTTGAACCTCAGAGTTTGTTCCACAAGTCACCTGTCAGCAGAGTTTGTTCCACAAATCACCTGTCACCAGTCATACTATGCAGTTGATCTCAACTTCCATTTATTGAGTGCTGGCCTCAGTGAAGTCATTTCCTTCGGACTTGTCATTAATTGGCCTGAAGCATGATTGAAAACTGTATGTGTAAGAGTTTCAAGTTAGGATGTGGCGAAGATGGGATCAGACAAGGACTGTTGTAAGCAAGCGATGTTTTTTTACTTCACCATCATTGACTTGAACCAGTAACTAGCCAATTTCTGGTGTGCAGTTTTGCAGCTCTGCTATTCTTTCAATGGCAGGATTCCAACCATCAACACTGTGATCATGGAGTAGTTTGAGGCTGGGAAATATTGGGCATCATTTCACCGCTGCAGCATCAAATTTGTTTTCATTTTGGATAGATGACACTTGGGGCTCAGATCTGTCAACTTTGTCAACCGATAAATGTGCTGTTTCATTGAATGCGATGACTCCGGCAGTGGAGCCCCTGTTTTGTCCACTGTGTCACTCTGTGAAGGAGTCTCGAAGGGAAGTCCATCCATGCCAATGGAAAACAGGCTCCATGTACGTTATGTCCTCCTGGAAGTTTGCATGCCGAAGTTGCCATCAACAACAGAAAGTCCTTACGGACAGGGCCCTATATCACTGGCGACGAGCCGATTGGTGCTTCCATACCCTATCCAGAAATGGTATGGCTTTGGATCTGCTTCAGCACGTGAAGGATGGGCATTTCACTATCGGTGAAGACATATACCATCAACGCCGTGAAGACTTTCAGGACATGTCACTTGGCCACCGTCCAGTGGCCATCGCCGCGACGGTGATGCTCCTGCAGATCCCAGGAGCTGCAAACTATATCCATGACGTGGGCTACTGTGCGCGGGGCAGATGGTATGAAAGCTATGCTGGGATGCTACAGCTTCGCGGTGATTACTGGAGTGTTCATGTTGTCGAGCTCTTCGCTTAGCATGTGCTGCTAAATCGCATTGGGTTGTCTAAGTTGTATATTTTGAGTCAGGTAAAGGTTCAGGTTTGTTGAAATTTTTCATGTGCTGGTTTTGGGCGTGCCATTGACATTGCGTGACATTGCACATTTTCCATTGCCTTCATTGAGGTTCCATTGCCTGATGTACTGTTGCGTGGATTGGGACAGCCTTGAAGCCATGGTGCGAGATGAACATGATTGGGATCAGGTGAGCAGCTGGGTGTGGACGAGGTGCGGCTGGATCCATCCATAAAGACTAGAAGTTCGACTGGAAAAGCTTGGAATGCAGTAGTTGCTGTTTCACTTGAACTCCATCATCCTCAAACATGTGGGATTTGGACAGTGGCCTTTAATGGATGGAATTTAATCTTGGAATGACAGTGGTAAAGCACTACTGTCCTTGGAATGATGGAATTGACCATCCTCAATTTTTAAGTTAGTTTTGAGTCTGGGTAAAAATAATGCCAACCTCACAGCGAACTCAATCAGGCTAGTGAAAGAACAGCAATCAGTGCAGACTGTGATGATCACACAACAGTGGAACTCATTTTGTCATTGAAAAAAATTACCCAGAAGTTGAAATGGTGAGGAATCACCTGCAATGACGGTGGTAAAACATCACTGTCACTGGAATGATGGAATTGACCATCCTCAAACTTTAAGTTCGGAGCGGTCTTGAAGCAGAATCAACAAGGTTCAAGTAGTGATGTTTAACGAAATCTGACATTTGGCGGATCCCCGGGCATTGAAAAAGAATCCAAGCGACCAATTTGTGGTTATGAAACGGCGGTCAAGTTTGTCAAGTTGTCATTGCAAGACCCAATGTTTTGTCGTGCAGTTTAACAACTTTGCCAGGTAGAAGCAGGCGCGGCCTCAATCTCAGAGTTTGTTGTGAAAGTCACTTGTCATCAGCCACAATCCCTCACTGCTCACCTGTTTACCAAAATCATCTGTCTACTAAAGTCACCTGTCTACTCTCGCCATTCCATGCTAGGTGAGCCTGAGAAGTGCTGCTCTCAGTGAACTGCTGGGTTCTCAGTGAAAATTGTTTGACAGATGGGATGTGACAGAAGACAGAGAAGAGCTGAGCTTGTTGCAAGTCAAATGTTTCAATTGCAGGATTCCCATCATCTTCATCATGATGGTGTCGCTGGACTGTCGTCAGGTCACGCAGTGCAGTTTCTTTGGGCTTCAAAAACTATTTCGTAGAAGGAACATTGCCTTTGTGCAAAGCATACCTAACAAATCATTGCAATGCTGTCAGATGTCAGCAGTGAGGGCTGCATGCTTCATGCTGAGAGGTGCACTGAGTTCTTGTCTCTGCAAATTTTGAATTTTCATTGCAAGATTTTCAGGCATTTCATGTTCAGCTATAGTTGACAATTCATTTTTTTAGCAGCATTGGCCCAACATTGAGTGTGTTTTTGTTGAACCAAAAGTGTCAATGAAACACTGAATAATTTACATTAAATTAGTTGTCACATCAATTGCCAGAACTGAATGTGATTCTGCATGTATGCGACCAACACATCAATAATATAATTCATGATCTAACATGCATGCAGGATTCTGCATATTTGCACCACCAAATATTAACTGAGAGCCATGGGGGAAGCGGTGCCACCTAGTGATGGTGCTGCTGGTGATTTAGCATCAATGAGGAGTCGGACAGAGGCAGCAGCAACCCCAAGGTTGAGCTCAACGGCAATATCAACCATCATTGATTTGACAGGGATGTCCTTTTCAAGGAAACGCAAAAATCAAGCAGGACAAGATGGAAAAGGACGCAAACGCTTGACAGGAGACCCTGTGGAAGCTCGGCAGGAAGAAGCTCATCAAAGGCAAAGAATGCAATCGATGCAGCCCAAGAAGCCCTGTGGGCACATGGACCTCAAAGCCAAGAATGTCGGGATGCATTGCGATTGGCTGAGGAATTAGTCAATATCAATAACGCCCTGCATGGAAGGATGAGAGGAGGACCTCAAGCTGGAGGCCCTGCTTCAGCAATGTGCCCTGCAGCTGGAAGCTCTGATTAAACAGTGGGCTGTGCAGCTGGAAGCTCTGGTTCAACGACGGGCTGTGAAGCTGGAAGCCCCGGTTCAGCAGAGGGCCCTGGCGTGGCATCAGAGGAGGCTGAAGAGAGTTTTCAGAGATAGAGGTGGATGAAGAGTTGGAGTGATTCTGGCCACTGGCATTTGTGCCTATCTGGGTTGGATCTATGTGCCAGTTCGGTATCTTCCACCTGGGAAGCTGGTTGACCTATGAGGCAGTTTTTGTCTGGGTTGAGACCCAGCGCATGGAGGGAGAAGCTGCCTCTCTGCTTTTGTGAGAAGAGCTAGCATCTGCCAGCACCTGCTCTGGTGGAGGCAACTCTGGTGTGTGCCACAGGGAAAAAAGAAGCTACTTTCAGGTGTTCTACTCATTTCTGTGCTGCAAAGCACAATGCTTTGTGGGAATTGCTGCAAAGCATTCAGCATAGCATGCATTTTCAGTGCTGCAAAGCACAATGCATTAAGCACCATGAACTATTTTCTGCAATGAAAATTTCTTAGTGCTGTCAGGTGTGAGTGGTGACTGCCGGATGCTTCCTGCTGAGAGGTGCTGAGAGGTGCATTGATTGATTGTTTCCCATTTGTTCATTGCAGGATTTCCAGACATTCATGTTCAGCAATGTTTTTTTAGAAAACTTTGATCATACTTTTTTCTGCAGCATTGGCCCAACATTGTCAAGTATGTTTCTGTTGAAGCAATATCGAATCATTGACCCAGCACTGCTTTTACCAACTCGTCATTTTGATCCTGGTGATTTATATGACTGACTGATCTTTTCAGTTTCAAAAACTGGTTTCATGAGGCTGCATCAGAAGCAGTCACGCTTTCAACACGCTTCCATTGACCTGTCTCAGCCATGGCCATGCACTTCAACACAGTGTACTGCTTCAAGTACTACCATCAGGGTAGCCAGAGGCATAGAGAGTGGCTCTTTCTGGACCACTTTCACCCTGGCACTGCAGGGGAACTCCGACCCTGTGGCTTCCTGCGGCGTACACGCACTCGCAGGGTGCGTTTCGAGAGCCAGGGCCAGTGGTCTACAGAAGATGTGGCAGGTGTGGGCATCCAGCGAGTCATCCTGTCAGACTTTGCTTGCAGCCCTGCAGTCAATGTGCGAAGGCACTACCTGATGTTTGATAGGATCCCTGGCACCTCAGTTCCGTGGATTTGTTTTTGGCAAAATGGTTTATTTGATGTCTTTGTGTGAGAATTTGAGGGAGCATGGTTCATGGTTTTGATTTGACATTTTTGTTTTACCAAGGCCTTTCAGGGCCACAACCGTGTTGCCTGGTACATGGGCTCATGGCAAGTCATTGGATCTATGATCTGCAGCCCACGGGGCCCCATCCAGCACCGCATCCTGGAAGTGGGCTGGGTGGCAGTTTATCCTGATGAAGAGGATGATGACCAGCTGGCCCTGCAATGGGAAGTGGTGTGATGGTAGTCATTGTGAACTATGGTATGGAGGATGTGGTTTGCCACTGACCGGAGTCGATGATTGCCTGGAATTGATCTGATGGGCCGATATTTAACTATCTCACCATTGTGGGGTAAGTTTTTTTTGCAGCCAAGCTGCAGGAATCGCTGCCAACAGGGTAGCTGGGCAAAAGCTGCTTATTTTACTGTCAGGCTACACCGGAATAGCTGCCATTGAGGCAGTGGGATAACTGTTTTTGCAGCTGCGCCAAGTTTTTCCTTAGCCACACTGGAATACCAACAGGGCAGTGGAAGATGTAGATGTGTGCAATCACCAAGATGTTGTTCAGATATCTCCACTGCCACTGCTGGGCCAGCAAGAAACTGAGACATGTGAAATCCTAGCATAGGAGCAAAAGATGCCTTGTTTGCAAGACAACAGTTTTCAGTTTGTTTGATTGCTTGCTTATGGCCACCTTTGCACTATATTTTGCTTGAAGCCAGAGTGCACCACAGTTGGGAAGCCAGGTACGACATGGTATTCCTGGGTTGCTGAAGGCATGGTTCTCAGCAGTCCTGAAATCTTGGAATGTTGAGCTGTGAGCATTGATCTTTCACCAGCACCAAGTGCAGTGATGCTATTAGAATGTTGTGCATTTTGCAGCAATTTTTGGCCCACCTGCAGGGTAGTTTTGGCCATGTCTGCCCCATTGCAGGGCAACTGTGAGTTGACCCTTGAGGAGCAGGTACTTGTTGATGGTTTCAGATTCAGTGTGCTGCCATCTGGTGGCAAGGACACGTGGGAAATTGTTGGGAACTTCCTCATCAGGAAGCATGCCAAGGCCAGAAAAGAGGCTTTTCATCCACTTCATCGTAGCACCCCTGTGGAGCCATACCAGCTCACTGACCAGAGGCTGACCATCCTTTTCAAGAGCAACAATTCTACATGGGATCGGTCACTTTACAAAGATGTGTGGAGAGTTGGCAGGCAGCCATCAATTGCATCTGAATACTCGAAGGGATTCACGATCTTCACAAAGTTGCAGCAGGAGGATTCCACTGCAAGAAGCTCACAAGAGCATTTCAATGGTGATGAGCTCTGGTTGAATTGGCATCCCACGACAAGCGAGCTCAGACAACATCCCAAGAAGGATAGCAACATCCCTCAGGGGGATAGTTTTCCCTCTTCCGCTGATTGCTCTCAAGAACAAGGGCCCGATGGTAACCCCTGGGCTAGCTGGTTTCCCACTACAAGCACAAAGCACAGGCCTGAGCAACAACATCCCAAAGAGGATAGCAACATCCCAAAAGGGGATGATTGTCCTTCCTACTCAGAATGAGGGCCTGACGGACAGTATGATCCTGAAAGAATCATTGAATACTTTGACTGCTGAGAAGGTCAAACATATATGCCAAAATAGCGGATATTTATCCACCAGGTAGGTGACATGTTTTTTCTCCGTGCCAAACCATCTGGAATCCTGGATGAAAAAAGGTGGGTCAGTTGCATGACTTGCTTCAGTGCTGCCATTATTGAAACCATATTTGCGAGCAGCCAGCTGTGGCTCACTCCATGATGTGTTCAAATTTGCTTCGTTGCCAGGCAGCTGATGTGACATGATTGATGTCACTTCTGGCAGGGTGGATTCAAGGACTGGCTCTCATGAACACTGTGTGGATGATACTTGTCTGCTCCATAATCTGGATGATACTTGTTTGGATGATACATTATACATGTTTTTGTGACACCTGCTGAGAACTGGTCATTCTAAGCATGAGACACGGTAGTTTCTTGCTATTTTTTGGCTCAGATTTTATGCCTGAATGGTGCTGAATGTCTGGGCTCATGTGTGATGTTTGATGAGACTGTCTATGAGTCTGCGGAGGAGACAGTCAACCATGGAGCCAACATGGTGTCGGAAAGTGCAGAAGCTGCAGGAGGTGATGCAGCAGAAGGTGATGGTGGAGCTGGTCTGGCAGAAGGTGATGGTGGAGCTGGTCTGACTGATGAGGATGAGTGTGATGCCATGGTTCTCTTTGAACATGGAGATCCACTGGGAAATTTCCACTTGCAGATGTATGCTGTCCCACCAACACCGCCAGGATACAAGGCACCCCCAATTGCGCTCATGATGGTGCTTGATGGTGCTGGCAAGGGTGGCAAGGCAGCCCCAGTGATGCTTGATGGTGCTGGCAAGGGTGGCAAGGCAGCCCCAGTGATGCTTGATGGTGCTAGCAAGGGTGGCAAGGCAGCCCCAGCGATGCTTGATGGTGCTGGCAAGGATAGCAAGGGTGCCAAAGCACCCTCAGTCGCGCTTGATGGTGTGTCTACAGGTAGCTCTGGCTCTGCCTCTGAGAGAAGCCTGGCTAGCACACATGAGAAGGCCCCGGAGAGCAACCAAAAGGGCAAAGGCTGCAAGGGCAAAGACGTGGAGAGATTGCCTCAATGGATACTTTTGAAGGATGGGATGTTGCCTGCACATCCTGATCATGAGTCGGATGCTGAATCTTCGGACCCCATTGAGGAAGAAGAAGGAGAAGAGCAGCTGAGTGTACCATCTAGTTTCACAGGATGAGCCTGTGGCTGTTGGATCAGACACATACATGTTGTGAAATCAACTGCGTTTCACCAATGTGGCCCCGAACTCTCTCAGAGAGCTTGTGGAACCATTGGGGCAATGGTTGGATTTCACTGATAGGACAAATTTTAATTAGACATTTTCATCAAAGCTTGGGTGACCGCCACAGCACATAGAGCCAAGTACTGATTGTGTGCAAAAAAAAGCATTATTGGCTTTCTGCAGTTGTGCAAGTGTCATTTGAGCACAGGACCACAATCCTGGTTGCAACCAGTTTGCAGGCCCCATCCTGTGGAAGTTCAATGACAGCAAATGTGGCAGGCTTACTTTTTTTTACCTGATGTTTTTTTGTGCACAGCCTTTCATTGCACACAGGCTTGCTGCAAAGCAAGCAGTACAGGCTTGCTGCAAAGCAAGCAGTACAGGTTTGCTGCAAAGCAAGCAGTACAGGTTTGCTGCAAAGCAAGCAGTACAGGTTTGCTGCAAAGCAAGTAGTACAGGTTTGCTGCAAAGCAATTGGGTCTGCTGCAAAGCCATCAAACAATTTCCAGCAGAGCAAGCAAAGGTTTGCTGCTGAAAATTGGCATCTCTGTCTGAGGCAGTGTGTGAAGAATGATCTGCACTATGTGAGCTATTACGAGGCACATCTCTGGTGAACTGACTTTGCCACTTCTTGGATCAGGTGTTCAGAGCTTTGTCACTCACTTTGTGGGAACACACACTTATGGAGTTTGTAAATTTGACATTGGGTGTCTAGGCTCAAGCACAGCAGGAAGTCTCAAGTTCTGGCTGCAGCCTTTGCCATGGATGGAGCAAGGAAGATCCCAAAGGATGAGTCTGAGGCAAATGAACAATTTTTGCAAAGAATTGTTCAATATACAGAGGAAGAGGCCCAACGACGGATTTTGCAGACAATCACTCACCATACTGCTGTCCCGTGCAGAAGCTAAAGGTGTAGATTGCTGCTTGGTTCCCTACTTTTTGTTTGTTTGTCAGTCTATTTCATACTATGGTTGTAGTTCACTTCAAGAGTGTTTTTTTGGTATGCTGTGGTTGTTGTTTTCATTGCTGCTGCTGCTGCTCTTGTTGTGGATGATTGCATCTGAGGTGGACCACATC